ACTAGAGTGTGCACATGGTCTGGTGTTAGTTTCGCCGGGAGATCTTCAGTTATCAGTTACGCGACTTATGTTGCGAGATTCAGTTATCAGTTACGTGACTTCGGTCGCGAGATCAGACCGGTTATATCAGTTATCAGTTTCAGTTCAGTTCAGTTATATATACTCAGTTCATGATCATGTTATTATTTACGATGTTTTACCTTAGCATGAGTTTCTGCGGAGCACAGTGCCTTAGTGCTCACGCCCCACATTTATCATGTTTTTCAGGTCGCAGGGTCGGAGCTGAGGAGTGAGCGGGCGAGCTGTTCAGGATATTTTTATGTGGGTTGTATTTGATGTTGAACGTTAAAAACTTTTCAGAGCTTTTATCAGACTTTCATGTTATTGCCACGCTAAGACTTCCGCTAAAACCTTCAGACTTTGTTCCGACATTAGTCGGATAATAAATTATAACCGTTTCACGTTTCAGTTTTAAATTCTAACGGTTTTCAGAAGTCATGTTTTCATGGTAACCCCCGAATCAGTTTCGAAAAAATAAAAAAAAAAGTTAGTTTATTTATTTACTTATTCAGAATATTTGCGAAAAATCGCGTACTCTGGTATATCAGTAAGCGGGGTGTTACAAAATCGATTTCTCCTTTAAGTAGACATTGTTTATCCATTTGTACCAAAAAGAGTCCTTCTTCGATTGGATATTCCAAAGGGTCCTCATGAGAAGGGCCCAGTTCCACGCTTCCAGGTTACGGAGTCCCAATCCACCCTCCGCCTGAGGTAAGCATAGAGTATCCCAAGCAACGGGAGCTTTTGAGGAGCTCCATAAGTATCTTCTACAAAGTTGCGTGATCTTGGTTTGAACTATGTCCGGCAAATGCAAGATGCCCATCCAAAATCAAGCAATGCCTTGGATGACCGATCGGATGAGTTCCAATCTACCGGCGTATGAAAGTGATTGGTTTCTCCATCCACTCAATTGGCTCTCAATTTGATTGATAATGTCGTCGAAAAGCCTACCGGTAATCCGATCCGCCGTAAGAGGAATACCGAGGTACCGAAACGGCATAGGCCCACTTTGCATACTAGTTTCGTCAAGGATTGTCTCTCGATCTTGTTCTTTGACCCCGACCATATATATGTTGGATTTGAGGACATTCATTTGGAGTCCCGATTTGGCTCCAAAATCCCTTAAGAAATTCATAAGCAATTGGATGGACCCCGAGTCGCCTCGAGAGAGGAGCATGAGGTCATCGACAAAGACAAGGTGGGATATCTTGAGCTTCTCACATATTGGATGAAATTTAAAGCTCGGGTCTTCCACCGAGTGACACTTAATAAGCCGGGATAGATATTCCATGCAAAGTACAAAAAGGAAAGGTGATAGAGGGTCACCTTGCCTTAGTCCACACGCTCCTTTGAAGTGTCCTTCGAGGCATCCATTAATTGATAAGGAATATGACGGGGTAGTGACGCACTCCATAATCCACTTAGTGAACATCGGGGAAAGCCCAACCCCTCAAGCATTTGTCTCAAGAATGACCAAGAGACGGAGTCAAAAGCTTTCCGGAGATTGTCTTAATTAGGCATCTAGGGGAGACTCTTTTCCTCAAGTATTGACGGAGTAGTTGTTGCATGTGGTGAATGTTATCCGTCATACTTCTTCCCTTCACGAATGCGGCTTGGGCTTCGTCAACAATGGAGTCGAGGACCTCACTCATTCTCTTAGCAATGATTTTGGAGCAAATCTTGTAAACCGTGTTGCAACACGCAATTGGCCTAAAGTCCGTCACGCGAGAGGAGTGGGAAGACTTAGGGACAAGCGTAATTCCAGTGTGATTCCATTGCTTAAGTATGGATCCAGACCAGAAAAATTCTTTGATTTCCGCAATGAGATCCTTGCAAACGCCATCCCAACTCTTCAAGAAGAAGGTAGAGGTGTATCCATCGGGACCCGGGGACTTACCTCCTTCAATTCCTCTTAGAGTTGTCTTGATCTCTTCTTCGATTACCGGGGATATTAGGGAGTTACATTGGTTGGGGCTAAGTGTTGGCCCCAAACTAAGAATTAGAGGGTCGATATCCTCCGTTTGTATCTCGGTTCCCAAAAGTCCTTCATAGTATCGAATAAATTCCTTTGCCACATCTTCCATAGAGCCGGTTAATGTTCCATCCTCACGAGTTATCGATGCAATATAATTCCTCTTCGTTCTCTTCTTGACCAAGCCATGATAAAATTTTGTACATTTGTCCCCTTGAATTTGAAAGTTGCATTTGGCCTTTTGTTAGAAGAAAGACTTTTCCGCTTTGGCCAAGTTGAGAGCTTGGAGTCTAAGAGGCCCCAATTTAGACTTAATACCAAGGTCATCCGGTTGGTCATGGAGCAATTGTTGAGCCTCTTTGAGTGCAACTTTTGCTTCCTTGGCCCGAGTAGAAATATGTGAGAAGGATTTCTCATTGAGTACCTTAAGTGCATTCTTGAGATTCTTGAGGTTGTTCGAGAGCCTATATTGCCTCGATCCCTCCCCAACATGACTCCAAGTGCCGGTTACACATGGTAGGAAGTCCTCGTGCAACGACCACATATTAAAGAAGCGCCAAGGGGTACCCCATTGGCTCTGGCTTCGAAAATGTTAACAAGACAAGGTGAGTGGTCGGAAATTCCCGGTGGAAGGAATGAGGCATGCGAAAAGTGGTCGGCATTCACCAAATTCGGGTCCATCATGGCTCTATCAAGCTTGGACCATACATGACTATTTGTCCAAGTGTAAATGTAACGCCCCATTCGTTTATGAATAAATTGGATTTTATTATTATTATTATTATTTTTATTTTTATTATTAATATTAATATTATTATTATTATTATTATTATTATTATTATTATTATTATTATTATTATTATTATTATTATTATTATTATTATTATTATTGCCATTAATATTAATTATTATTTGTTTAATTGCCTAAATAAATTTATGTGCCATTTTGTGTAATTATTATAAATATTATTTGTGGAGATTTATTATAAAAATTAAATACTATTTTGATTATTTATTATTTTATTTTAACTTAATCGTCAAAACGGACTTCGGGTCAAACCGAGCCACGCCCGTGGCCACGCCAAAACCTAGCCGTCGCCCCTCCCTCTCTTCTTCTTCTTTGTTTGGTAAGTGGATCAATTTGGAGCCTTTCCTTTTTCCCTCCTTGTGATGTTTATGGTAAGTGCTTAATCTTGGAGACTTACCATACCTTAGGGAGCCTATATGAGGAAGAGATTGACCCCCCCTTTTTTCGTCCTAATATCTTTTTCCCCAAGCAGCCGCCCACTCTCATCTCTCATCCCTCTCGTCTCTCTCGTCCTCTCTCCTTCTTTTATATTTTTCTTTCTTTCCGATCGTGATCACCGCCACCCTCCGTTGCTGTGCACCATCGTCCATAACTCGTCATCACCGCGTGCACCATCGTCGTCCCGGGCCAGCACCATTGCCATCACCCGTTCGTGAGTCACAGATCGTGCACCCCTTGGTGTCCAGCGTCCCTCGCGAGGCCAACAAGCACGCCCAGCGTCCCCGCGAAGCCCGCCAGCGCCCAGCAGACGTCCGCAGGCCTTCCCCCGCGTGCCCGCGACCATCCTCAGCCCCGTTCGAACCTTCTTTCGTGCAATTTCCCCGAGAACGGTACAAGGCTGATAATCCTTTATTATTTTCAGTATATATGTGCTATGTGGTGAGCCTTGTTGGGCAATTTCATGTTAGGGTTTGGTAAGTGGCTATTTAATCTCGTGATTTATTCGTTAATTGTATTCGAATGTGAATTTCGCTTAAATCATGATTAGGGCTGTGGATTATTGGAACATTTGAAGTCCTTGGCCTC